ATCCTATTACCCACGAAGAACATTCCCAACATCTTCAAAACCGGGAAAGAAAGAGCGATCATCACCATTGTCCCAGTTGGTTCTGCAGTGTAGGTGTTTTTATTGCACTCTGCAGAAGTTTTTCTTTCACTGGCACAATACAAATTTTTTACACCTTACAATCGTTGCAACATTCACCTTAAAAGGGGAACCTTCATTTGGAAGAACACATTGTCATGCCCTTGCAAGCGGTTAAACGAGCTAAACCGGAACTACTTTGTGTTCACTCTGTAAGCGTTAAGGCCATGCTAGAAATATCGTTAGGAGAGGGAGGGTATAACTAGTCCCTTCCTTTTCAAGTTCTGGTTAACGTATGCAAAAAATACCCAGATGCCAGTCATACGATTGTCGAACTACTAATTATTAGAGGTTCTTCGCTAAGTAAGCTGTAGCAGAACACGAACACAGCCAGACAACCAGAAGTGGCAGAAAACGAGAAGTGGCAGAAACTGGCCCAGGTACTACCCACGCAGATCTGAGATGCAAAGGAATTCGCAGGGCCGAGGAAAACTGGTAGTTCAGGATGACTCAATGCCTTTACCGCAACTCCTAGTACAATGCCCCTCACAGGGCACACCACTGATTGTTTGGTCGAGTGAGGATTTTGGTCGAGTCCGTACGAAGTTGTTCCTACTTTCCCGAAAGTGAACGACCGAGAAAAAGTTTCTCCAATGCCACCAATTCCTCCTGGAAGGCAAATATGATCCACCCTCCCTTCTCCCCAGCGACCAAATACGACCTTTCTTGTTGGGAAATCCCGATGATGATGCACTCTGCCCCCTCAACCTTGAAGTCCATCTTCCGCAGCGGGGGAAGAGCCACGCGATAATCTATACTAAAAACAGAGAAATCTTGGCGCTGTTCGGCATAGGGTGGGGGGCGCAAGCTAGTTTTTACTTGAGTTTACATGTCTTTACAGGAGGCAATGATTGATGGAAAACAGCAAAATGTCCCCACCAAGTCGTACTGCTATCTGTTCTTCACACCCCTCTCTGAACCAAGGAAATATGATCCTCTGATGGGAATGCGTACTCTTCAGGGATAGGGTGCCCTGTGTGCAGTTCGCGTTTTGGAGTGTAAAGCCATATATGAGCAACCACCCCGTATGCAGGGTGCTTCAGAGACGGCTTTCCGTACTCCAGTAGAAGGTACCTCAGAAAGGCTCTCTGAACAGGTTCTAGTTGTAAGAGCAAACATTGTTTGGCATAATAAGAAGCGCTTTACAATGCCACCCATCCCACTTGGGCTGCTCCTAGTCCCATTCGTACCGGCAGCAAAGGGACAAAACGTAAGCCGGTTTCTCCAAGGGTGGAACACTACTCTAGTAAAGCGTCAGGAAGGTCCTTTGAAGGGTGAAAACTCTCCAACCAGCAGTAAAGCTGAAACAACGATACCGCTGTAAAATATGATACGGTATTTTACAGTAATAAACCGTCAAGTAAATTTCTGGTAATCTTCGCCTTCCGGAAGTAACCGAACTGCTGTTTAATTTCATGTTAGGATACGCCATGGTGATGAGAACTTGATTAACTGTTAGCTCGACGAGCAAAGTTCCTTCAAGGTCACCCCAAGTGCCACCCCTGTCCCACTTCACTAACCCAAGAAAAACTTTTCGACCCAGACACTGTCTTTCAGAGACGATAAAAATCTGCGGAAATTTTTAAGTTCTCCAGAACTGCCACATCTTCCGCCATAACCCCCCCCCCACCCCCGCGACCCCAACAAGTCGAATAAGCTCCATGTTCTGTGGCTCAAACTCGATCCTCCTCATTTACGACTCTCCAGTTCAACCCCTATTTAATATTTCGTGATAGCACATTGTCTTACTTTGGCTCGTTGATGCTAAGTCGAAGTTGAAGGAATGCTCTTCGTTGTCGGCAAACGAATCCTCGACGCAATCCTAAATAAACTTTTCGAGTAGATGTGATTCAACAGGTAATCAAACGCCATGTCAAGCAGGAAGAGTAGGCGGGGCGCAGACGGACGTTGCGCCACCTTTGCACGGATTGGATCTTCCACTGGGTTGATCCTCTTGATCATCACTTTTCAAGGTTATTCATGCCCACCGTATAGGGAGTGGCGAGTAAGCTCTTGAGAGCAAAAAGCCGCCTTCAAAGGAGCATTCCGCAATGAGCGTGTGGGCGGAGACTCATATTTTGTGTCTTTCTCTTTGCCTTCACTACCTGTTGGAAGGGGCCCACGAAAGACGATAGAACAATGGTTACTGGTACCCGCCCCTCTTCACGCCTGTCAGGTCATCGCGTAATGTGTCTCAAAAGCATCTTTTCAACCGGTCTGAAGACACAATCCAATTAAAAGTTGACTGGACCGTCCGTCTGAACACTGCCTATCCTGAGCCCTTTGATGGAAATATGAGGACTTAATAACAGAAGAGCTTCATAGGAAGAGTTCACTAACCGATTCATCCTTCACCCGTACATTGATGATTTCCGGATTTGCGCAGGCAAGTATCTCAAACAGGTCGCTTTCCTGTTTTGAGTCATCGAAACCACATGCCGATAGTAATGACTTCGGTTTACTCGATAAGATGTCCCTGAAATGTGAATCACTATTCATAGTAAGAACTTCCTATACTTGAACTTACAGTATGACATCCATACTTGGACTTACAGTATGACAGGACGAATCTATTTGGCGATAGTGCTATTCGCCTCGAAGAGAGCATTTGGAGATCCCCTCGTACAATCTCGTGCTACGTGTTGGGCGAGGATTTCTATGGACGGAAGGAGCTCGAGCTAGG